TAGATCTGAGTCAAGAAATGACACCAGGACTGAAAATTCAGATTTGCCTGCAAACGTAAGAGTTAACTCTAAGCAAAACGCACATGATTGTATTTTCTTATCTGCCAAACTCTCCCTTTTTCCCACTCCTAAATATCATCATTCATTTTAATGTGGTTTTTTTTAATTATTCCAATTCAAATACAGCAAAGTGTTGCATGCCCTTGTCCTTACACATTAGATTATATATTGGCATTCCTTTGAAAGTATTTTGTTCTTTACTACTAACAGGGCAAGAAAGCCTTGAAAACAGACTTGCTTATAGTGTCCAACTTGGAGGGATTGAAATATGATATATTAAGTGTTATATATCTACGTTATTAAATTTTAAATCAAGCTACTTTAACCCAGGGAGAAGTATAAAATAATAAATGAAGTAGTTTCTGAAATGCAAACTTTTATGTTAGACAGGTCACTTCACTTCACAGACCCTCCAAAGGCATCCAAAGGGGAGCCTGTAAGGGCTCCAAAAAAGTTTCATGATGGTTACGGCAGCAGACGAGGCTCTGGCAGCACTTCCTCACCACTCTTTATCTTCCCACCCACCATCAGGGCTCAGGGCCCTGCCAGGAAAGGTCCCCTTCATTCACCTCCAGCACAGTGAACCAGACTAGCCTGGAGACACTTTCATCCTCACAATTAAGCTCACCAAGGTCACTTGCCAAGTACAGTTTTGGGTGTGTTTGAGTGACCACACTGGCGATCCAGTCATGTGGGGCTTCTGCTGGCTGGAGCCTCATTGCTGGCAGCACCATTGTGGCCATGTAACAGGCACACATCTGTCCAACTGCTACATCCACCATCCATGGGGTGCACAGGGGTGATGCATTCTCCTAAAACCCCACAAATGTCCTGCTCAGGACAGAGCAGACTCTGTCCTTCAGCAAAGAGGGAGAAACAAATGCTGAGCTGCCTCTCAGAAGCCCATACAGCAGAACCTGGCTTGAAACCAGCAGGTTTCTGGCCTGAATCTGACCCAGACTCATTAGTCTTTAGCTATTTCTGTCTAGCCTGGAGCATCTCACAGACGAAGGATATTCAGAGCCCAGACAGTCTTCCACAGTGAGCATTTTGGCTCCTCAAAGCTGTCATCAGTCCAATGGGTTGCTGTTGCAACTTTCGCAGGGTTTAAAGTCAAGTATTGCAAGGATAGGTATTGGAAGCCAAAAATGCCTTCCCAGTTAAAAGTAAACAAGGTCCATTAAATTTTGTTGACCTTTTACTTGGTACCACCGGAATTACAAATATACTTCTTTAATACAGGAAAATTTGGATAATGATGCAATTATGTTACTCCAGAAGGCCAGCCTAAGCCCACAGCACTGTCACTGGCAGAAGGGATCCAGTGCTCTGCTGGTGCCACATAGCCTTTTTCTCTTCTGCAGCAACTACAGCAACAACTTCTGTTTCCAACCTGGTACATTGCACAATCACAAAGACAGCAGTGGGAACACAAAGGAGGACATGGTATGACATAGAGGCAAGTGTCCCTGGCTGGGATTACATCCTTTGGTCCCAAAGCCAGCTTTTGGTAGCTGAGGAAAATCCTAAAACTATGAGAAAGTCTGTGTGAAGGTGCTTCTGGTCCCACAGTTGAGGTTGAAAAGGTCTTCTGGATGTTCATCTGGTCTAACCCCCTGCTCAAGCAGGGTCACCTAGGGAGAACTGCCCAAGAACTGTATCTTTCACAGTTTTTGAGGATCTCCAAGAATGGAGATTCCCAACCTCTCTGGGCAACCTGTGCCAGTGCTTACAGTGAAAAAGTGTTCCCTGATGTTGAGAGGTAACTCTTGTGTTTCAGGTTGTGCTCATTGCCTCCAGCCCTGTCACTAAACATCCCTGAGCAGAGCCTGGCTCTGTCCTCTTTGCACCCTCCCTGCAGGTATTTATATACATGGATGGGATTCCCCTGAGCCTTCTCCAGGCTGAACAGTCCCAGTTCTCTGAGACTTTCATTATGAGAGGGATACTTCAGTCTCTTCATCATCTTTGTGACCTTCCACTGGACTCTCTCCTGCAGCTTCCTAGTGGGGCTCTGGCAGTCTGATCCAGCTGGCAGATACTGATAGCATGCTCCCTTGTCTGCCCTGGAAATCTGGAAAGAAGATGGCATGCAGGGGAGCATATGTTCCTATCCAGAACAGGGACTCTTTTGATCAATCAGTGTGTAAAGAAAGTCTGCCTCAGAATCCTGTATCTTGTGTTTGACTGACTTCTAAGGGAGCAGCTGTAACTACCAGGCATCACGTAAATGTAACATAACTCCAGCACAGACTAAAAAAAAAGAAAATTGTCTTTTCTGGGTAGAAAGATGTTTATCCAGAGACTCAGCATAATTTATTTTTACAGCAGGTATACCAAACCAAGACAGTTAAAAGACTAACTCTCCAGAGCTTTAGATGCTATGTAAATAAATGCTAAATAATTGCCTGCATTAAACTGTGGTTCAATGTTCAGCAAGGAAAATAGGTCTTGTTTTTCTTAAATTAAATTCTGATTTTATCTATAATTCTAGACTATTCCTCTCGTTCATTTACATGAAAAGTCATCCCACTTGTTGAGTGCCAAAGCCTTATTCTGAAACTATGATTAGCACCAGTACTTCCAAAAGCTACATATTAAATAGTTTTATGTGACTAACCTAAAGTCCCTCAGCCAGCAATATAAGCAAACTGACCTAACCAAGCACACACATTCTTGCTGCGGGAATGTCAATTTACAAGCACTCTTCTGAGTAACTGAGATAATGACTGTGAGGGCACCAGGCAGCACAGCCCAGAGCCGTGCACCCGCAATGGTTCCAAACAGTTTCCTGTGCACATCAGGATCAGGTAACAGATGGAAATGCACAACTCCAACTCATGCTCAGAGCCAAGGAGCTGCAGTTGAACACACTGTCATCCCACTGTTAAATTTCCCTCAACCCGTAGCAGAGCTGGTGGGAAGAAACCTGTGCCTCCACCTCTGCTGCTTCAGGCCACAATCTAAATTCCTGCTATAATCCCATCTTTCCCAGCAATTTAACCCATTAGACTCAACTAGAAGATGCAAAATGGAAGGCACAGGTCATGCTCTCTTCTGCATGAAAGAGGGTGATGATGGGCAGTGGGACGGAGCAGTACCACTTCAGCCACCAGAGCTGGGCTGGAATGGGCTGACCCTTCAGGAAAGATGTCCTCCCACACTAGGTGAAAACACAGCTACTTGCTTTAACTACATTTTTTTACAGGGTTTTGGATTTCTCTCCACTGAGCAATGATGCTGGTTGTCAGTAAATTATCCACTGTGATCTCTCAGGATTTCTCTTCATGGTATTATTAGCTTAGTTTGTGACTCCAGTTTTTCTTTGCAGACAATAACCACCCCTGAACAAAAGTCTCCAGCTTGAATAGCTGGCAACTCCACTGTGACTGCCCAGTACTACCAGGGAGAGTGATGCTGTCCTCAGGGACCAAGGACAGGTGCATCACTGCTTTGGCCAGGATGATGCAGCAGCAGCACCTCCTTCACTGCAGAGCCACTGTCCTGCCAGCCCAGGGCCAACCAAGTCCTGCTGCTTATCTCCAGCCTCCCAGCCATGGACCCAAGACTTTACAACACATAAAAATAGTACATAAAAACCCCCTTCCACTGACCTGCTTTTTTTTTGTAAAATCAGAGTATCGCCCACTTGCTGCAGACATTAGTCTGCTTCTTAAAAAAGAAAAATCCCACTGGCAGATAACCAATATAGAAGAACATCTCCAAAGAAGCTGTTACAGTTTATCGTGCAGTAATCCATGGATTAAGGTCATTAATAGACCTCTATGACATACTGCCATGACTCCAAAGGTGCTCTTCTGGCTTACAGCATAGATATACAAAATATAACCACCTCATAAACATTTCCCCTGAGATACTGTCTTCTAAATATTCAAAAGAAAACTAAAAAGGAGAAAAAACAAAAGCTAGACGCCTAACACAATATCTTGCATTGCATAAAAAAAAAGTTATAATGGAAATAAACCACCCTGACTTTTCTTATCTTTCAGATCGATATTTTCACAGTAAAAAAGTTGTTGGTAGCTGAAATTTTGATCCTCAGAGCTAAAATAACAAGCCCAGACATTCTCCCATGCCCAGAAGATAAAACCATAAGTAAAACTTCCAAAATGAAATCTGAAATTCTCAATTCTATCCTTCAATTATTTATATGAAACAAGCTTTTTCCTTCTGTTGACATGAGAACACAAATATATCATCATGGAAAACACTGTGTACTCCTCAAATCCCAGGAGGTCATTAATCTTCTTTTATGCAGTACATGAACTGTTTTCACAGAACTTTTTAAAATAGTTTTCTAAAGCATGCCTGATGTCATTAGGAAGTCAGAAGCTAATGCCCTAACAATATAATTGCTAAAAATCCTCCAAAGAAAATAATCCCTTTGCTCCTCCTAAACTTATGTTCCTATCTGCACTATTCATACATGTAATTACCAATACTATTAATTTACCTGAGTCCCGGATACCAAGAGTAAACAACCCTTGTGTCAAATCTGAACTTATGGATAGACTTTTCTCACTTATGTTGATGTAAATGAAAAAAATCAGCACTCTTTCCATATGATTTGTTTCTTTAGGACTCTGGGAATGGCATAGTATTGTGCCACTGTGTATTTTCATTTACCAGGAAACAATTATAATTCATAAAATGTACTCAGGAGAATACAATTGTCCTACCAGCTGCAACCAATTCTGTATCCCACAGTCACATGCAATTTTTGTAAACAACATAGTGACATTTGAAAGAAAAAAAAAATCTTAGAAAGAAATCTTAAAAGCTTCAGTAAACAAACATTATGATAAACAACATTTGTTTCAATATACATCTTACCAAGAACGAATCATACATCATTTCCCATTTTACTTTCACTATGATGTAGTAGCATTTTCACTACACATGCAGCTTCTTTTTCTTACCTTTAAGGAATCAAAGCAGGCAATAACTCTTCCATTTTCAACCTGGCAACTTTTAGGGGGGTGTGCAAATTTGCATTCTTCATCAGAGCGTGAACAAGTTCCCCTCTGAAACTGCCTGCACACTTCTAATGTCAGCCATTTTGTGTCTCTTACGGGAGCAACATTCAAAGCCATGATGAGGAGCTGATTTTGAACTTGTAAGTTGCTGTCAGGTGAATTATGCTGAAGAAATTTCCAAAACTAATGACAAAGGAAGGGGGGCGGGGGGCAGGGGGAGGGAGAAGGAAGTCAGAAAAAAAAAAAACTTCAATTCTAATGGAAAAGAAAGTTAAAAAAAACAAGCAGTGGGGGACGATTAACAACGTCCAACACACACAAAGAAGAACAAGCAGAGAAAGTTTATCAGCAAGCAGTCACTCATCAATCATTAAGTCCCGCTTGTAGACTTTTGGCTGGGAAAACACATGCTCAGTTGCATTTCTGTCTGTAAAACACGTGGGTTTGTTGATTGTAATCACGGATGCACTGGTTTTAAGCCAAGGTCCATCAATGCAATGGCACTCCTTGATAGAATAGCAGTCCTCTGATGCTTGCTTGCCAGTATTGATCACACAAGAAAAGCAATGCAGTCATTTGTTCATGTCCCAGGAATAATAATAATAATCCTTTTTCTGCTTTCAGTTTCCCATCAACTAATTGGCAAATGGAGACAGCTGAGGTATCTTCTGCCAGGTGTAAGGTGAAGGCAATGTCTGGCTGGCAAAGACCGGATTTTGAGAACACAGGCGTAGCAGTCCTCGCTCATAAAAGTGACTTGGCAAAGGCACTTTTTAAGTCACTGACCTGACAAAACAAATACAGCATTAGTTCACATGCAACTCATTCAAATCAACATTATGAAACCTACAGTCCCTTTTTATCAGATATTATAAACATACAGCCAAAGTTCACTCTTAAAAAAAAAAAATAAAAATCATCCTCCTTTGTGAAGTTACACGTGATAGGGGAATAACCAGTTGAAACACGTACTGCAGTAATACTCCAGGCAGCAATCCAAAAGTTGGGAATTATTTAAATAGATGAATGTGGCAGACACAATAATTAGGCACACTAGTTGTGAAACAATTCAATCAAATGTGCTTAGTCTCCAAAACTGTATACAAGAACCCGTTTCCATTAATTTATCACTTGGCCCTTTAGACTGTGTTACTACATTGTAAATTGTTACTCATTACTTGTTCTTCCTTGGAAACAAGAATGGTAGTACTCTGCTCAGATTTTTTACATCTCCCTCTATTCCTCAAGAAAAAAGAAACTAAAAAATGGCATTCCAAAATTAGAGGAAATGAAACCTTCTGGTTTTATATAAATATAAAATGCAGACAATATAGTTAAGTTTTCCCATTAACCCAGAGGCTGTTCCATAAGGGCTTCATGAAAGGGCTCAACCAGCAAGTCACCATGCTCCAATGAGTCTTTTCTAATATAAAGCAGTCTTTATCTAAATATTCTTTTATTTAATTATCCTTTGTGTACCTCTGCAAATACATCCTTCACCATCAAAACATCGGATTCCAATATGGTACTTAAACTGTTTGAGGATTATAAAATTCCTACGATACTTTACAGAAAAACAGATATGAAAATCAAAGGGTTAGTGGCTAAAATTTTTATTCATATCTAACTATATTTTATACATAGATAGTGAAACCATGGACATGATGTTTCAGCTTCAAAGGAACACAACTTTTACTTTACAAATACCAGCCAGAAACAGTTGATGGATTATTTTTGTGCAGGAAAAAAGAAAAGGGGAAGGACTGGAATAAGTGAGATTTTAAAATACATCAATAAAAATAGTTCTAAAAACACTGTCAGCTTTTCCGTGTCAGAACAATTACCATTCTGTGCTTGGACTCACTGGTCGTAATTGAAGTCAGTATTTTTAGTTAAGTAAGAATTAATCACACCCAGTTTCAGGATCAGATCCCAGTTCTGACTCCTAGGTCTTCACATCAAAAGGGTTTTTATGCCTTCATTACTTCGTAGCAATGCTACCAGAAGAGATTTTACTATGTGACCAATACTAACACCAAAAATCCCTACTGCTAGCATGAATAAAGGCAAGGCAATGCTAATTGCTCAAAAATTCAGTTTCAAGTGCAATGCACAATAAGATAGGTCTGGATGACACTTAGCCTTACTTGGTCATAAAGAACAACAGGGTGCAAGAGAATAATTACATTTTTAAATAATTATACGCAATTATAGTACAGTACATAAATTACAAACTCCTCAAATTAAATATTCCATCAATTTTGACTGACAGCATCAATGAAAAATAAGATTAAGCTAAAAGCATAGAAAGAGGTGAGAAAATACTCATAACTGATGAAAAGGAAAGAGGAGGAGAGACAAGAAGAGCCTCTCTACAAGGGCTTGTTGAGCTGATAGCTTGTTGGGCTGATGATTTAGCTGGCTAAATGTAAAAGAGGAAATACTCTCCCTAGAGCCACACATTCCAATTCAGAAATGTCAGTAACGGTTTTCAGTAATAGATGTACAAGACATACGGAAATTTTGGGAAAAGGGTAAATGTTATACCGCATACTGCTGAAAGTCACAAGTAGTAATACTCTGCAGGGCTGCACACCATAAAATTGACAAAGCTGTTTCTCAAGTAGTAGGTGTTAAGACTGAATAAAACCAGACACAGCACGTGGCAGCAAAGCAAACAGCACACAGGATAGAAATGGCAGCAGCCATGGTTTTCAAAAAGAAGCACACAGCAGAATCACAAGAAGATTTGTGAGACTACAGCAAGAACTCATACCAAAAAGCATTTGGGTTGGAGGGTAGAAGAGTGAAACACAGTATCACCCTGTTTCTTACCCTCACACTGCATGAAGATTTTCTAAAGGAAAGGAAGCATGAAAAGTTTGTCTGAAAAATCCGTATCTTGTCAAACATAACAATGCCACGTGATTTCTCAAGAGTCATCAAATGCCTCAGGAGTTTCTACTGGTAAACACTTGGGAGACAGAATGGAACTGAGTCCTTTCTGAAGGAGGTCATGCTTTCAGCAAGAGGCAAATTCAAACATGGTGAAGATAGAATAATTTGGAGTGCTTCATCCCTACCACTTAAATGACCTATGTGTTCACAACCACATGCTAGGCAGCTGTCATACCTCCTCTGCCCATCACCTGCACCAGGAGGATGAAGGAAGAGATGCCACCTTGAAAACCTGAATAGGAGGGATGCAAAATGAGGAGAAGGGAGAGAAAAGACAAAGCAGAGAATAAAATTACTCTTTCTTGGAGAAGTCAAGATAAGTGGAATTCAACATATGAGGAAAGTCCTCAAGAGAAGGAAAAAAGGGGAGGGGAAGGTAGGAAAAGGAAATGGCTGATTGTGAAACAGAAAGGAAGGGAGAGACTTCATAGGAAATGGAAGATAGATGGAGAAAGGTTGTGAACAGTGGAAGAGAGAGGTACATTCTAGGAGGAAATTCTAGGAAGAAAGCAGAGGAGACTGTGGTTGCAGGGAAAAAATCCAGCAGTTTGAGTAAACAGGGAAGTAAATAAGGGAAATAAATGGAATTTAAATAGGAAAATATAACAACAGTAACAACAATAATCCTCAATAAAATGCCTGCCAGGTCACACGCCATTATTAACATCATAGCTTACCCTGACCTTGTGTGTTGCAAAACCCACCCATCTGGAGAAAACCAGTGGCTATGGGAAATGAAAACTCTGCTCTTCTTCACACTATTTCTAATTGTGTCCCAGCATACCAGCCAAAGTTAGCTATCCTGCCAAAACCAATGGTACCTCAGAATACTTTGTTTGCTTGATGGTTTTGTTTAGTTGTTTTGTTATTATTATCATTAATGATCCCAGCTCAAGACAACACTCCACACTGTAGCTAAACAAACTATTAAAACTTACAAACAACTGAGCTGCAAAATATTCTTACTGACTTTCTGAAGGTGAATGAAGTACTCAACATAAGAACAAATTTTTTGCCTTTTTACAACTATTATTGTTTATTTTCAGTCTCTCACACAGTTGAATCAATGGAATTGATAAAGAATGCACACTTAAAAATGCAGGTTTTTGTAGGTTATGTGAAATGAAATTCATGGACATGTATTTGTAAAGGCTATTTAGCTTTGGATCCCTTTTAGGATAATCACTTTCCTTTTGCAGAAAACTAGCAAGGCATACGAGTAGAAGGCCTTTGTCATGATTAAGAAAAAAAATTCTTTTCATTATTAAACAAGACAAAGCACACAGACATTAGAAGCCCACAGAAAAAGTTCTCAAAGAAATATGGGGCAGACAGCCTCATCTTTGGGAATGGCAAGTGAATACAAGGCCCTGCCCTATTACGAACCAGTTGGACCTTTCAGACGGAAAATAGGAGCTGTAAAATATGAGGTGCTTTGGTACAGTAGTTTTACTTATCAACCAGATTATGTGGCAATGGGTTATGCAGTAGCTGTCTAATGGTGAAGCTGAGAATTCCTGAACATGCTTCAGTAGATACATGTAGGAATGAGCAAAGACCTCATCTTCAAAAGTCATCTCTGCACGTGATGACATCCAGTAAAGGAGCACAGTCTTCTACATGGTCTCACCACAGATATCTAGAGGAACTACTAAGTCCACTCAAAATGTGTTAAAACAGTTTTACACTCTTTGAGGTTTAAACACTATGTTTTATTCATTACATTAAAATCTTCAGTAAGGGATGTCAACACTGGGGCTCAATTTGTTGCTCCTACTGTCAAAATTTATCAATATGCTCCATATATTTCTTCAATAAATATACCAGAAACTCAAGAATTAAAAAGTTAGAAAACCCTCAGTTGTTAAAGGGGACTTAAAGGGGGACTGCACAGTTTGAAATATATAAGCTTTTCTTCCCCAGACAGATGTATTAAATATACTTAGCCAAGTACAAGTTTGATAATTTGTATTATTATACAAGTTTGATAATTTGTAAACAATGCTCTGTTTTACAAACAAGGAAACAAACAAAAAAAAAAAATTAAAACACTCCCCAAAAACACACTATGCTGTGAGAGGAAAGCAAGTTGAGCCTTCTCTAGGTCACTAGCAGGGAGAAATGTTGATTTACAGACTGCTGCCCCAATTCATTTAAATACATGAACTCAGGTGGGAGAAAACTCACCTTCAGTACCTATCCACAGCCACCACAACTGACCGTCTGGATACTCCAGTGCCAACACAACGTATTGAGAACTTATTCAAACCCAGCATACATATACTGCCACTCTTCAGAGACAAACTGTTTTCTTAGCCAAATGTAAGATCTTTTTCAGGAACACCAAGATCAACTCTCTAACCTCAGGGAAACAATACTGCACAATTTTAAGCCTTTGGCCCAAAACAGATTGCTTCTACAACTTTTACCCATTTACACATAAACAAAAGCTCATGGTGCTTTCTCCCAGAAAATCATGTTCATAGCCTTAAATTTCAGAAACTTTTTAACAAAGAAACAGTAACAATGATCCTGCAGGAGACACCAGGCCCAAAGAACTTCATGTCAAAATTTTAAGGTCTGGATGGAAGCTGGAAGCAGCAAAAAACAGGCTCTCTACCCTTAGACAGGGTTAACCATAAGCATCACTAGCTTCACATTCCACAATACAAGTTCATGAACCAGCAGTGTCTTGACCACATACTACTTTAACTCAGATTCTCATGATGCTCCTTCTTGTTCTGGAAATAAAGTGATCTCTAAGAAAAAAATAATTTAGCCACTTTTTCAGCCCGGACTTACTAGTTTTGAATCAGAGATTTTACCTG